TATTCACAAAAGTCAGCTTTGGCTGCTGTAGCTCAGTGGACTGAGAACTGACCTGTGAACCTAAAGATCGCCAGTTCAATTCCCGGTCAGGGTACACTACACGCCTGGGTTGCAGGCCAGGCATTCGAGAGATATCTCTCATGCATCAAGTTTTCTCTCCCTGTCTGGATCTCTTGCACATAGAGGTTTTTCTCCCTTCCTTCCTGTCTCTCTAAAAATAAATGAATAAAATATTTTAAATAACCACAAAAGCCCTATTCTTACCTGTATTTACAAATTTTAGTATCCAGAATCTTTAAAGTATATTTTCTTTACATTGTCTAATCTAAGGGTCTATAATACTAAAACTGCATTTTATAGCTTTTCCAGATATCAGATATTACTTTTAATAGACTTTTAAGAGTAATAAATAGGAAATAATATTGTTTCTACACTTTGCAATTCATAAACCCTTCTACAAAGCTTTAAAACAAAAAGAAAATAAATACAAATGCTAAGAACATCTTTTTTATTTAGAAAACAAGAAATAAAATCAGCTTGAGATATAAAATAATACAAAAAACATGGTTTTGTTGTTTTCTTTTAACTGGCTTTCATTACTGGTATGTAAATGTAGTCGGATTATTTCATTAGGGGATAAGATCCTGATTTGCTGCTGGTTTATGATTTACTGCAATAAAAGACCAATACCTTTAAAGCAGTGGCTTATTTTCTCTCTCATATTTTCTTAATTTAAAATTGATAGAGCATGTAATAGCATAATTACCAAACAAAACTACAAACACAAAATATTGAAAAGCTAGTAATTTCTTAAATAGCAGTTTTGCCATAAAAATAGCTAAGCATTCATTATGTTTTTAAATATAATTTCAACCATGACATAATGTGAAAATATCAACTAAGGACACGCTGTGCATTTCAGAAAACTAATCTCTAGAAAAACTGTTTAAAAAGACCCACCCTCTCCCTTGTATTTTTGCTATACAACCTCCTAAGGGCTACTTACTAAAAGAATCATTTTTAAACTCAATGCAACGCAGCCCCCTCCCCCAAGAAACCCAAGCTGTCAACTTATGGGTCACATTTCAACCTGATGTGATTTGAAAACAGCTAAGGTACTGAATCCTTAAACATAGGGTATGTAACGGAAGCACTGCTCACAGGTCCTTGAGTCTGAGGGTTGGAAAGCTTTAATATGGTATAACTACAGACAAAGCCAACCAAGCAGCATTAATTACCCCTTTATGCACTCTCATACCACAGCCCCAGTCCCCCTCCAAGCCTTACAATTTACATTTCCAATAAAATGCTTCTCTAACACTAAGCAAAAGTCATGTAAATTTTATTGAACCAATGAAGGGTTAAAATCAGAGCCAAACTATATAAAAATATTAAATTCATAATTGGTGAGCTCTTTCTACCCTCTGCTTCAGTCTCTTGACATCTAAAAGTCAAAGAACTCCTCTGGTTAAGACTGAAATTCCCAGGAGGAAGAAGGCTCAGATCCAGTCTGAAAGCACACAATGGAATCACAGCTGACGATGCACATCTTTTTCTAGATGTCTCCATATGCTTGAGAGGTTTTTTTTCCCCCAGCCAGGCATTAGGGGACTTGCTACTCTGCCACCAAGAATAGGAGAACATTTCAAAGATTGTGGGAAAGAATGAAGTAAAATCCTGTGCTGCTCTCAAGCATACAAAAGAGAGAGGAGGACGCACATCACAGTGGCCATCAGTAACTAAATTAACTAATGATGGTGGGGGGGGATTAGATGTTATCATTTTGAATGTTGTTCAATTTATAATACTCCCTACTTCTAGCAGTTGTTCATTTTATCTCCAGGATTCTTACCATTCTATCACTAAGATAACACACACCTCAAGGGCTACAGCAAAATGCAATTAATTTTTGTCTAAATGAATACTCAAAATGATAATAGATTGGAAACTCACATTATAAATTTGAAATAATATATTACAACAGAACACATCTGCAGGGTATGTTACTTCCCCCTAAAACTACAGTCCCCCTCAGTTTTTTCTTAGCAATCCAAGATTAATAAAAGCTAGAAAAGAGGTTATAGATAAGATAAATATCATGTAGATAAAATATCTCAAAAAAAAAAAACACAACCCTTGCAAGATTTGTTAAATTCATGGAATATTTATCACAAAATGAATGGACTCATTCTCAATTTAATATTATTCATTCTTTTAACTCCTAAAGATCCTGCAAATTTCAGTTGGAAAAAAGCTGCTTTGCGGCTGTCAGTGTACACTAACCTCACCAACAAAGAACAGGAGCACACATACACACACACAAAAAAGCAGTGCAACAGCTGCTGTCTTTTAAAAAGACAGCTATTCCTGCAGAGCAACCTGTGATCATTACACAGAACCAAGGACCTACCCTCCCTATTCATAAAAGTTAAGAGTTGATAGTCACTAAACTAAAGGCAACCAACAGCTTGAAACCACCAAAGATGTCTCCTAACCTCGTATAAACCAGAAAAGTACCTACACACCATGCAATTCAGCGGTGTTTAAGAAAAAAACTGATTTTTAAGAATCCTTTGTGTTGGAGTAATCTGGCAAACATTTTACTCCGATTTCATTTCTTGTACACAAATATTCTTTGATTATCTTTGCTCCTTAAATACCAAGACTTTATATTTCAAACAGTGAGATTTGGTTCCTAATTTCATTTTGTTTACTCAAAAAATAGTGAAAAAAACAAACAGAAATGCACACCATAAAACCATAACTTTATTTTTTAATGCCCTCCCAAATGCCGAACTTTCAAGTGCACTTTGGGAATTGGCGGTTTAATTGAACAAGGAACCAGTGAAGCCATTACAAACAATGATACTTTACACTCCCAATAATCAATTGACATAAGACTACTCATTTTCAAAGTATCCTTTCAAATTTCAATGCCCCTACACCGGAATAACTTAATGAAACTGCGGTAGAGGTTTAAAAAAAAAAAAAAAAACACTCCTATGACCCTCCGCACGTAAACCAGGTGCTCGGGTCCAGAACACGATCGCTACAATTATTTGCCATTTTAGAAACGGGCCTCGGAGAGTTACTGCCACATCCTAAGTGGTTTTAGACTTCGTCGTGTCTAAGACAATGTCTCTTGTGGTACCAGAGAAATATAGTATCTCGTGTATCTCTACATGTCTCCTAGGGTCAGAGCCCCTATACGTGACACTACGCTACAGAAAACGGAGCCGGTGACTATCGATGGACAAGAGTGGGAAGCTCTTCGCGTCTCCATGACTCCCCCGCCCGCGTGCAACTCCGCTCCAACTGGTCCGGGATAACCCCGCCCCCTTCCTTCCTCCAGTCCTCACGATTGGCTTACCCACACCTTCGATTGGCTCCTCGCCCCATCAGTCATACGCAGTGAGATTCGGGTCGGTGGGAGGGGAACACGTTGGAGGAGGTGGAGTGGGAGTGGGATTAGAGGACGAGGTGGCAGAAGGTGTTCACGCTCGGTCCCGGGTTTGGGAAAGTTTCCCCTACCAGTGACAGACCCTGAGACGTAAGGCCCAGTCGAGCTCCCAGCCGGTGCAAGGCGCCCCAGTCCCCGATTCCCGCCCCTCAGTCCCGCAGGCCCCGGAAACCACTAAGGGGAGGGGGAGGAGGAGGGACCATCCAACCGAGGACCGACCCACCCCCGGTCTCGGAAGAGTCGCCTCCGGGACTCCCTGGAGGGACCGGACAGGGAGCAGCAGCACATAGAGACCACCCGTGGCCCCCTCCCCGGCAAGCCCCAGAGGCCCGGGAGAGAAGTGTCCACCGGGCGTGACCGTCGCGAGCCGGCCGCGAGGACGCCTCCCGCTTCCCCCCTGGGGCCCTGAGGGCCTGTCCCTTCAGGGGCGGAGAGAAGGGGAAGAGAAAAGGGGGCGCTGGCGAGCCAACCCGGAACCTCCTGGACCGCCTCCCGCCCCCAGCCCCGGCCCCAACGCGCCTACAGCACACATGCCCGCACCCAGAAAGTTAAGTCAGGGGCGAGCCCGGCTCGGCGCCGCCGCGGTCCAGCCCCCGGCCCCCGGCCCCCCGCCCCCACCGCGGTCCGGCCTGCTCAGCCCGAGCGCCCCGCCCGCTGCAGCTCCTTCCCGTCCGCCCGTGGCGCCCCTCGCCCCCCGCCCCCGGCGCTGACACGGGCCCGGCCCGCCCGCCGGGCCGCGGCTCCCCTCCACCCAGCATCTCATCCTGCCTGCCGCCCCTGACATCGCGCTTCACCTTCACACACACCCCCGGCACTTCCCGAGTCCTGCCTACCTTCGCCCGGTACTACCATCCGCTGCAGTCGCTCCGCGTTTCCATTAAAGACTGCACCTTCTCAGAATTCACCTTCCCGTCTCTGCCTCGGTCCCCTCGAGGGGGCAGGAGCCTGGATCTTCGCGACCCCGCACCCGGCTGGGCTGCTGGCGCCTAGCTCTCCAGCGGGGGCCGCGCCCGCGCCCCCGGCCTCCTCGCCGCGCCTGGGCGCTCACCTCTGGCCGGTGCCTCAGGCTGCAGCCTCCGCCCGCCCCGGGCTCGAGGACTCGTCTCTCGAGCTCTCGCACAGCGCTGGAGCGCCTCCTTTCTCTCTCAGGGACTCCGCGTCTCCCCGCCGCTTCCCGCCCTCCCCACCCCCCAAGCCCCAACTCCCCAGCTTCGCGGCGCCACCGGGATGCAACTCCCGTGCCCCGCGCACTCCGCCAGCAGTCCCCGCACACACAACAACCCTCTCCCCGGCGCACGGCTCTGCTCTGCTCCGCGCAGGGAGGGCAGTTGCGACCGGGGGTGGGGAGGAGGCGCCCCCCACCCACCGCCCGCCTCGCGCCCGCCCTCGCTGCCCCCAGGGAAGGCGCGGTTACCCGCTCGGTCGGTCACGCCGTCAGGTGCCGGCAGCCGTCGGCGCTGACCTTCGCCGCCAAAGCCGTAGCTGAGGCTGCGGCCGCCATGTTCCCGTGTTAATAACTGCTGCCTGGTTGTTTATTTCAATGGAGATCCTCCCCCAACTCCCTCCTCCTCCTCCTCCTCCTCCTCCTCCTCCTTCTCCGCTTCTCCGCACTTGCGGAGAGAGACACAGACCACGCGAGCTCCGGAGCAGGGGAGGGGGGCTCGGCAGCCAGGCTGTCCCTCCCTCTGCCTCCCTGGCTGTGGCCGCCGCCAAATCTTGTCACTGGGAAAAGGACGGGGCGGTAACTTGCCTCCCGCGTCCCCGGCGAGGGGGCAGAGGTACGCCGAGGGCTCTCCGGGGAGCAGACCCTGGCCGCAGCATCTCCGTGGGCAGTCCTCTGAGAAGGCGACCCGGGGGGAGGTAAAGAGTGAGGGGAGAGGGGAGAAAATGGGTGACTGTGGTGGAAGGAGGGTGACCTAGGGGTAACTGGAAGTGAAGGGAGAGTAAACAGATGACTCCATGGGAGGGCAAAGGGCAGTGCCAAAAAAGAAAGCGAGCGGATGGGACATGCCGGGACTGCAAACTGGAGGCGGTGGGATCTTGGGGCTGCAGACTGCTGGGAAGATGCCCCCAAAGCAAGGTCGCGGCGAGACCAAAGCCAGGTTCGCTCGAGAAGCCTCCTGGCTCGGCCTCTGGGCCAGCAGCTTGCACCCCTCGGGTGCACCTCACGCGCCCCACATACGCTGTAGCGCCCTTGAGGCTCCCCTAGGTCCATCGAATCTCCCTCGGTTCCTACGAGGATAGGCGTCTCCACTTGTAGCCCAATCTCAATAGGGGATAGAGGGGCGCGCCTTCGGGATACGAGCTTAAAGAGGTGCCACCCAGCAGCTGCATGCTAAAGGCCAAGCGCACACAGTGTAAAACCTGACCTACTTGAGCATTCTTGTCACGACAAGAATCCCAAAAGTTTTTTTTATTGGAAAGTCCACTTTCTATACATCAGAAAGTGATGCTGGAGGGAAACAGGATAGTACCACCGAAACTCGAGGAGAACCCTCATTGAAATGTTACTAGACTAGAATCAGTTTCATGCTTTGGAGAATCCAGTTCTTCCGAACTTAGATATAATTCCAGGGGGTGAGGGCGGGGAGATGATCAACATTCATCTAACAAATTTCCTTATTTTTAGTCTTGTAGTAAGAAAGGTCACTTGCCATAGACAATACTATTTAATGGACACTGTGTGCTAAGTGATTTATGTACGCTAGATTTTGATCCTCAAGCCTTACAAAATAATCATCATTTTTAATCCTTGACCAAAAAAAAAAAGTAAAAAGCTTAAAGAAGTAAAGTAATTTGTCTCTGGTCATACAGCCCGTAAGCTGGAGAGGATTTGATCCCAGCTCTGAATCGCTTGAAGCCCACGCTTCTAGTGGTGTCTGCAACCTCAAATTTGTGGGAATACCACCAATTTTATTTGGGAAAAGAAAAAAAATGTGTGTGTTTGACTATGGATAGAAAATGTTTTCAGACCTACAAGCTGTTAGCACTGGGGAGTATAAGTGAGTATGTAAAGTGATACTTCCAGTTTTATTTCATATGCTTAACTATATAGTGTTTGAAATGTTTTCACTGACCATGTATTAACTGAGTAAAATTTTAAAGATTATTTTAATTATGTGCCATAACAGAATTATGTTCCCTGAAATCACAGAGCTCTCCAAAAAACTGGGAGAAGAAACAGGAAATGGGGTTTTTCTGTTCCCTGTCTTCTTCCACTGACACTAGTCCGTGGTATTCCTCCAATGGGGTAGTCGTCACCTAAGTTCTGTCACTCCCCAATTTTCTTTCCTGTCCTCAGCTCCCACTCTGAGGGGTGATCAAGATTCTCCTTGCTTTTTCTGTCCCTCCCTTTTTTGGCAGAAGTCCAGAGTCCATCAGTCCTCTGAAACAGTAGGTTTCCCACTTTCAAGAACCACCACGATATCTGTGCAAATAAGTGACTCCCCGTTGCATTTCCATACTACTCAATAAAACTTAACTACATGCTTAAGATACATGACTGTTTCTACAAAAATAAAACAAACAAAAACATCTGACAGCATGGCATAATGAGTTCCATGTCCAGCTGCTACTCCCTTGCCTCAAACCTTGAGGAATCTTGTCATTTCTGCTCTCTAGTACAGTCTCTGGGCTCCCTCCACACTTCACGCCATTGTTATAATAGTGTTGTCTTGTACTGCAGTTGTTTATATATTTGTCTTTCCCTTTCATGAGGTTGTGAACTACGCAGAGCCCAGACCATGTCTTGTTCTTCTTTGCACGTGCTAGAGCTCCTGACAAGGTCTCACATAATGTTCGTTGTTTCACCCAATCTGTAAAATGTAAATAGTGTTGGATCCAATCCTCCTTCCCACCTTACCCTCCAATATCACACTTGTAAAACATGTTTATAAAGAATGTTTTCAGTATTTTGAAAAAACTTAGATCTCTGCAAGACCTCAGAATAATTCTTTGTGAAAACTAGCCATAATTATTAGTGAATTATCACTGGTGATCATGTAAAATTAAAGGGATGAAAGTACAGTGAATACATTGACTTGATGCAATCAGAGAGAAAAAAAGTAGAGATACAGGAACTGGTATAGTGCCGCCAGAAGACAACCCAGTAAGGAAAAAATGCGGGTGCAGATCATAAAGGGGAAGGAAATTATTGAAATTTAGTAGAAGCAGAAACTTGACAGACCATGGATGGATGAGGCAAGGTGACAAACCAGAAAGAAACCTTAGCAGAGTCATAAATGCAACATAAATTGGTAAAGGAAAAGAATAGTTTATATATTTAACAGTATACCCAAGAAAAATCAGACCAATATGATCTTCCCTCATTCAATTTCAAGCTTCCCCTTTCTTCATATATAAATACAGAAAAATTGAAGATTCAATACAATTTTATATAAATACTTCTAGCATGCACCATAATATATAATGAGAGGTAACACAGTGTGGTAAAAAAAAATGCTATAGAAGATAAGAAAATAAACATGAACTAGACTTTGCTACTTACTATTTGACCTTAAATAAATATCTCAATTTCCTCATTAGTATAATTGTAAGATTCAAACAAAATGGTGTAAATAAATATACTTTGTTAACTATCAAGCTGTTTATATAAATGTAAAGGAATATTATGTTGATTAAATCTGTGCATACATAGTTATCTCTACTGTGTACTCTCAAATTGCAAAAGCAAAACCTATAGTTTATTCTGTTAAAAATCATGGGAGGGGGAATCAGTTAAAATATTCACTTGACAATTTGATTATTGAACAAAACAGCTATTTGACTTTTATTCTTATTGTTTTCTCTCTCCAAACCCCTTTAACATTATAGCTACCATAAATGTGTCTCATATAAGTCAAGTATATTACATATATTTTTATTTCTAATTAGAGTAGACATCATATGCATTATTATTATAATATTTTGTATGAGAAAACTGAAGTTCAGAAAAGTTAATTCATGAAAGATCATAGAGCTGCATTAACATGCCTAACAAAGTATGCTGAGTATTTTCTACATCACTAAATACCTCTACTGGCCTAAGCAACATGTCTCGTTTTTATTTCCTCATTCCCTATAACAATTCCAAGAACATAATACATGCTCAGTAAATGATTGTTAAATGAATGAGGGTCTCCCTTCATACCATACTGCAAACTCACATGATTTATATTTCCACTTTTATTCTATTTCCCACTCAAAAACAATTTTGTTGCCTATAAAATATAATTCAAATACTTTATCTTATATTCAAGACCATTTTCAAGATGACCCTAAATATGTTTTTTCTAGACATATCTTCTTAAACAATAAAAACAACTAAATATTTAAGATACCCTCGCTCATTCCAGAGTGTTCTGGAGTCAGATCACCATGAGTTTCAATCTCTTACTATGTGAACTTAGGCAAGTTATTTAGCTTCTCTACAAATCCTACGCAGTTTAATAAGGCAAGAAAATGAAAAGAAAGGAAATAAGACAATCTTTATTTTATTGATGATGTGATTGTGTACATATAAATTCAAAAATATACAAACATTGCCCTGGCCAGTGTGGCTCAGTTGGTAGAGCATGGTCCCGTTCCAAAAGGTTGTGGGTTTGATTCCAGGTCAGGGCACGTACATATGAGTAGGTTGCAGTTTCTGTGCCCAGTCCGTACGCATACTGGAGGCAACCAATGGATGCTCTCTCTTTCATCATTGTTTCTCTCTCTCCTAACTTTCCCTTCTTCTCTCACTAAAAACAATGAAAAAAATGTCCTCGGGTAAGAATTAAAAAAATTAGCAAACTATTAAAATGAATGTAAGATCAAAGGACACAAAGTTTACACACAGAAATCAATTGTATTTCTACATACAAACAAGAAACAATTAGAAAGTGAAATTTTAAAAAATATCATGAAAGCATAAAAATATCAAATACTTAGGAATATGTTTCATGAAAGACGTTCAAGATCTGTACATTGAAAACTAAAAACATTGCTGATAGAAATTCACAAAGACCTAGTTAAAAGGAGAGTGGAGTAGACTGCATATTTCTAAGGTGTCAGCTCTTCCCAAATTAATCTATAGATTTATTACAATCTCAATCGAAATCCCAGCAGGTCTTTTTATAAAAAAGTGAGATGCTAATTCAAAAATTTATATGAAAATATATATTAAAAAAACAGGTGAGATAACTTACACTACTAATTTCAATATTCACTTGAATATTGAGCTACAATGATTATTGAGCCACAATAATTAAGACAGTATGATATTGATATAAGAATAGACAAATAGATCAATGGAACAAAATAGTCTAGAAACAGACTCCCATATTTATAGTCAATTAATTTTTTACAAAGTTGTCAAAGAAATTCCATGGAAAAAGGATAGTCTTGTCAATAAATAGTGCTAGGACAACTAGCTATCAGTGTGGAGAAGATGAATGTTGACTCCCACCTCACACCATACTCAAGGATGAATTAGAGGTGGCTCGTAGACTTAAATATTAAAGCTAAAACCATAAACCTCCTAGAAGAAAACATGGGATAATAAATATTTTTACAACTTTGGGGTAGGCAAAGATTTTTTTTAAGATGACATGAAAGACATCAGAAAAGACAAATAAGTTGGACTTCATTTTATAAACTTCTTATCAAAAAATGCCACTATGGAAATGAGAAGGCAGTCCACAGATTAGCAGAGCATATTTCCAGTGTATATATATCAGGCAAAGTACCTGTATCCAGAAGAAGTAAAGAACACCTCCAAATTATTATAATAATAAAAAGCAACCCCGTAACAAAATGGGCAAAAGACTTGTAAAGATAGTTTACAAAAGTTTATGAATGGCCATTAAACATATGAAAAGATGCTCAAAGTCATTAGCCATCAGGGAACTAATGCAAATTAAAATTGTGAGATACTACTTACCCTGTAAAATGGCTAAAATCATAAAGGGTGGCAATACCTAATATTGGGAAGAATGTACAACAATTGAAACTTTTATTCGTTGCTGGCAGGACTATATAACCACTCTGAAAGCAGCATGACATTTCCTCAAAACGTTAGGCATGAACTTACCATGACCCAACAGCTCTACTCCAAGTATTCACCTAAAAGAATATTGATCTGGGTCATGGTTACATTTTGACAATGCTCCATCAAAATTTGTTGAATTATGCACTTAGAATTTGTTTATGTTTCATATCTATAAATTATACCTGAAGGAAGTAATATTGGGATTTTTTAATGGAAGAGAAGTTCCCTAATATGATGATGTAAATATACAAAAAGCCTGCAAGAAATGTCATACTCAGGGGTGAAGCATTTACAGCTTCTCCGTGAGATTAAGAAAGAGAATCTCAATTTGGAAATAGCATATCCACTATTACCATTTGTATTCAACATTATACAGGAGGTTCTAGCTGATGCAATAAAGAAAAAAATGGTATAAGTATTGCTAAAGAATAAATTAAGCTGTCATTATTTGCAGATTGTATGAACATTTATGTAGAAAATCCCAAAGAATCCACTAACTGTTAGAATTACATTTAAGATCTCTAGAATGAAAGGTCAATAATACAAAATTCAATTGTGTTTCTAAATATTAGGAACAGTTATAAAATGACAAGTTGAAATATAAATTGAAAGGCTGGTTGGCAATTTCCATTAAAGCTGAGCATGTCTGCTTTATGACCCAATAATCTCACTCCTAAGTATATATCCAATAGTGTTCCTTCACGGAAGAATGAATACATTGCAGTGTTTTTGCTCAAAGGAATACTATATTGAAATGAAAATGAAGAAAAACCATAGCTACATGCAATAGCATGAAGGAATTATATAAAAATAATCTTGAGCAAAAGGAACCAGATGAAAAAAATACTACCATATGATGTTATTCACATACAGTTCAAAGACAGGCAAAACTAATCTGTGGTGAAAGATACCAGACAGTTGTTAACTTTTGAGGAGTAGGTGCTGCCCAGGAGGGCACCGAGGAAGATTTGGGAATGTTGAGAATTCTCCTTTTAATCTGAATGGAGGTGACATGGGTATGTTCATTTCATAAAACACTTTGTGTACAACTCATGCAAAGTATATGCTTGATTTGTGTGCCTGTGTACATTATGCTTTGATTTTTCATTCACTGATGTCTCCCTAACTAGTCTGCAGGGATCATATTTCTTAGTATCCTATATAAATTTTAGCACAGCAGCTTCCTAAAATGTTACTTTATATGGCACAAGTATTAGCAGATACAGATGCCAATAGTTTAAGTACAAATAATAGTAAAACAATATATATTTATGTATTTACAAATGGAGTCAATTTAAGAAATATTGACATTTTCCCCATAATTCTCCTTTCTCTTATAGTTATCTCAAATAACTCCAAAATAAAAATCTAGATGTCTATTAAAAATAGAATCTAACAAATTAAGGACAATCTGAGGGTCACATCTCACTTGCGCACTCTCGTAAGAATTTGTATGTGAGTACACCAGGTGTTGGCCTCATTTCACTTACCATGAAAGTTCATGGCGGGTCAGCCAAGGGGGTTCTTAGAAGAAAGAAGTAGGTTCTGGGCCAGAATTTGAACCCATAGTCATTGTAATTTGGACATGTTTTGGGCTGTTTGCATGTTTTTATTGCAATAAAATACACATAAGTCATTTTAACCGCTTTTTAAGAGAGACATTTATTTTTAAAACATTTCATTTATTTATTTTTAGAGGGGAAGAGAGAGAGAGAAACATCAATGTGTGGTTGCCTCTCACACACCCCTCATGGGAACCTGGTCCACAACCCAGGCATATGCCCTGACTGGGAATCAAACTGGCAACCCTTTGGTTCACAGGCTGGCACTCAATCCACTGAGCCACACCAGCCAGGGCTTTTTGAATCATTTTTAAGGGTGTAGTTCAGTGGCATCAAATACATTCATGTTGCTGTGCAACTGTCACCACTATCTATCTGTGGAACTGTTTTGTGGAAATGTTCTGAACATGTTATTAAATGCATCTAGGACTCAGTTTCCTACCCAAGTCCTTCATTTTTAAGATCCTCTGCAGTTCAGGAACAACATAGCCGAGAGCAAAAGCACACTCAGAGGGAAAAAAAGACTCCTTTTGTCAAAAGGAAAAAAAATTTTTCATTTTGTTTATTTATTTTTAGAGAGAGGGTAAGGTTAGGAGAAAGAGAGGGAGAGAAACATCAATGTTTGGTTGCCTCTTGCGTGGCTCCTACTGAGGCCCTGGTCTGTGTTGCAAACCAGGAAAAATTTTTATAAAATCCTAGATTTGGAAGCGGACATTAGTGTTCAGTTAAAGCTAGGACAGAAAAATGTCTCCATGAAAAAGAGGTCATCTGAATAACGGGCCTTCTTCCTTAATAAAAGAATCATCTTACTTTTTTTCAGATAGGCCTTTGTGAACATGGACCACTTGACAAACGGCCCTACTCACCACAGAGCACTCATTCTAGCAACATATCTTGGGCTTTAAAATACAGAACTCTGTTTTTATTCAAAATGTTTACAGGGTCAATCAGTATTATATTTTAATAAGTCTATTTTGTATGCATGTCAGTTTTTGACATCCTTAATTAAATGGCTAGGCTCCTGGCTTGGTTATTTTATTTTGTTTTGTTTTGTTTGTTTTCAGCTTTTCCCCAAGATGATTATGAAGTTCCAGACACGCAACTACTTGAAAGATTGCAACTGTTCTCTTGTCCCGGTCAGACCATTTTAAATGATTAATGCCCAATTTCTTAAACTGAGCGCTAGGTATATGGATATTTATTATTCTTCATATCGGGCACACACGTTAGTCATACTGTTTCATGTATAGTCAGTATTTAATAAAAGGTTTCAAAACATTCCTTCTATAGTATATATTTTACTTAAGCGCATTCTTTTGTTACAAAACAACAAAGTTAATCATTAAATCCTGTCTTTCTTTTAGACACAGTTGTAAAAAAGATTTACTTTTGGGTACTTTCTAATATACTCAGTCCCTGATTCACACATGGCCAACGAACCACCTAGGATGAGTAAGGCTCTGACTTGGCTGGAACTCCCTTCTCTCTTCTGCCTCTGCCTAGAACTGTCTCCACTCCTGCCCGGTTCCCCTTACCCCTCCACATGATAGGCTGCACAGACATTTCTTTCCCTTTCTTAATAGTGATATCACGTACAATATCGCCATTTTCTCTTATTTGAGTCCTACCACTCTCAAGAGTGTACTGTTTTCCTCATTTGGAAGCCCTGCCGCCATGCCTCAGAAAGATACAATACCAAACACTGTTGAGTTGGAGCACTCCACTCTTTCTCCATGTACCCACGTTACCCCAACACCCATTGCTCTAACAACCCCTCCCCAAGTGCAGCAGGCCAAGTTCTAGTTTTCCACAGAAACACTCGCATGACGGTGATGTTCTATTACTATTGCGGTGCTATTTTGGATGTCACCGGTTTCAGGAGCGCAGCTCTGAGAATCCAAACTCCTTGCAAAACCTCATTTCCAGTTAAAAAAGATGTTCAGCCTCACAACGAAGCAATGAAAAAATAAAATTTAAAATAAATCCATGACAATTTGCCTATACTTTTCACACAAGACTTCAAAGCTGTCACAAAAACATCTTTTTAAAAGCCTTTTTGCCATAGCTAACAGTTACTACAGGACTTGTTATATTTACAACTAAGAAGCATATACTAGCAATCTTTGGACACAGATAATGCACAAATTATTACTAGTGATATTGAATAAACTTCTTTCCATTCATTAATTCAGCACAAATTTATTGAGTTCCTATTCTGTACAAGGCATTATTCTCAGCACTGGAGACCCAGTACTGAACAAAACAAGCAATACCCTGTCTTAATGGAATTTACAGAGTATATGGCTCCTTCTAGGCACTTAATAAATATTGGTTGAATGAATGATTGAATGTGGCTAGCAAAACCATTAGAATATAGTAAATATTTATGTTTTATAAAATTCAGTGAAATCAGTGAACAAAGGTGTTGCAGAACATAAATTAGGGGAATTTGTTCCAGCAGTCAAAGTTAAAATATTTCCTTATTATAATGAGGTAGTACAGGGTAGGAGTGTTGGGTGATCACAACCAGAAGCCACACACCTCTATAGTCCACAGGACCCTTGCTTTGCAGAGGACTGGTGTGGAGAAAAATGCCATCCCACTGCTACCTCCATGCCTTTTTACAAATTATTGCTTTAATACCAAAGTTTATTTTATTTATAAGTAATTTGGATTTATTATCTTAACTCCAAGGACTCAGTATCAGTTTTCAGTGGCATTATAGCAAAGGACAAAACTTGACCAAATGTAACAGAGGCTTTAGCCTGTAATAATTGGTTTGCATTTTAAATCTCATCTTCACAGATATTTGCAATATACTTAATTTTTATGATATTACCTATGATTGCAAATCCCCAATAGGATTCACACTCACACACGCACACATACACAAGACACAGAAAGTGAGAGAGATGTATTTTAAGGAGTTGTGTGTGCAATAATGAAAGCTGGCTAATATAAAATTTACATGGTGGACCAGCAAGCGGAATCCTCAGAAGGAATTGATGTTGCAATGTTGAGTCTGAAGGTAGTCTGAAGACAGAATTTTTTCCTTCTTTGAGAAACTCAGTCTTTTCTCTCTGTGCCTTCTGCTGATTGGGTGTGGGCTACTCACATCGTGGAGGATAATCTGCTTTACTCAGAATCTACTGATTTAAATGTTAATCACATCTAAAAAAATACTTTCACAGCAACATCTAGACTGGTGTTTGACCAAACAGCTGGACACCATAGCCTAGACAAGTTGACATGTAAAGTTAACCATTACAATCCACTGTTTATCCATTTGACATTCATACACATCCTTAAACCATCCTTAACTTCCAAATACAGAAAATAACAAAGTCATACTTCCACCTAACGTGATACAACTATCCTGCCTACAAATGAAAGCACACCAACTCTTTTCCTAAAAAGGATGCAAAGTCCTTGGGTGATATTCACTCTTCTCCATACCTTATAACTTAAATGCTAAGATTAAAGTTAACTGTACTTAAATACTATAATGTAAAGTCAATACCTCATATGTCATATGATAAAGGGACAAGGGAGGGAAGAAAACAAAGATAGGATGGATAGATAGATAGATAGATAGATAGATAGATAGATAGATAGATAGATAATATCAGATAGATACATAAATACATGCACACATACACACAAGCATATTTATAACAAAATAAGAAAGAAATACTTGTAACAATTATAGTCCTCATCTTTGTAACTGCTGACATAGTGATAGTTTTATTGCAGAAGGAGACATGGAGTTACCAATGTGAACACAGTTGGGACTTGAGGTTGGGAGGAACATCCTTCTCTCCCCATACATGCCCACTGCCCCAAATAAAAAATAACCAACTATGGGAGAACAGCTGAGACAGCGAATGGGGACAGAGGACTGGGGACAAAGACATGGAATTCAAGGGCAGCAGAAATGACCATGCATGTGCTGGGAGGTCCCAAAGGCCGTGGATGTAGAGTATCATGGGCACAAGTCTCTGTATCTTCCATACAGGGCTGTATAAATTAATATAGAGATAAGTTGTTTGCTTTTTTCCCCTTCTCTGCCTTCTTCTCCATGCTGCTTGCCATGATCCTAGCTCCTCTTTCCACACAAGGGCTAAAGGAAGGGGGATGATGAGTAAGTCATCACCAAATTGCAATCAGACCCACATCTGTCAGCTTCTGGATCGACTGTGCTATTACAGGATTCTCGAAGTGTTTGCTGAGTGCCTGAGGATCCTTCTGTATCTGTTCCAGGATGAGCCTCATAGCTGGGTCACTCATGATCTGCTGCATCTCAAGGTCAGCTATGGTCCATCGCTTCACATCTTCGGGGCATCGTATTGGTTGTACAGGGCCATCATACAGCATTGGTAACCATCTGCTGCCTCCTTACAGTTAGAGTTCAGCTCTAGCACCTTCTGATAGATATCCATAGCTTTAGTGAAGTCTTTCATCTGCCTCTAGAGCAGCTGCTTTCTGTGCATAGCCTTTGATGATGGTTGGTTCTAGCTGGATACATTCTTCACAGTCCTTGAGCACCAGCTGAAACTCCAGCAGTTTGTTGTAGTAGGCAATTTGCTGTACAATTTGGCATCTCTTGCATTTCATTTGATGGCTTCTGTACAATGCTCATGGCTGGGGGGTAGCACCCTTTTCAGAAACATTCATCGCCTTTGTTCTCCTCCTCCAAAGCCAAGGAAGAGTTTATGTAAGCCAATCACTCTTACTCCTTCAAGATTTCCTCTGCCTGTTGGAATTTCTTGAGCATATCTGGTGTTTGGTACTCTGCCAGAGACTTGTAGAAATGGAGGGTATCCTTGTATTTTTCTTCTTTGAAGTAGTAATTGCCAATTTGTGCATAAGCCCTGCAATTTCTCAATAATCTTCCCAGTTTTCTCCACCCACTTCAATGGCCTTCTCACAAAGCTCTCAGTATTTACTCTAGTGGCCCTTTTTGAAGTACACAGCTGCTTGATTGGTCATGTAAGTCGTGTTGGTGGTGCCCAGGTCCTTGGTTCTGCCATAGTGCTTCTTTCTTCTTATAGGCATCACTCCCCAGCCCTTTTTCTTTCAGTGCCTGCTTCTTACTCTCTGGAAGATCCTCTTCCATTTTTGAGGAGGAGATGGTGGTGGAGGTGTTGCAACTTCCCCCTCCTCATCCATACCGCCCAGATCAAATCCCAGGAGGACACTGGGAATAGTCATGATCTGGGGATCTTGCAGTTTCATGCCCAAGGTAGATGGGTTGTTGCCCAGTTGCTCTATCAGTAGTACATGGTAGGAAGGATCACTGAGCAGCGCCCTAATCCTGGGCTCACTCTCCAACTTCTGGTACAGTTTGGGCATGTTTAAAGGATTCATGAATTTCCTCTCTGCCAACCAGGTCTCCATATTTTGTAAACACTCTTTGAGCTGAGAATTAATTGCTTCATATTTTAGACCCTTCTCATAGATTTGTTAGGCTTCTTTAAATCCATTTAAGAACTTGAGTCCTGCTGCTTTTTGTGAATAGCCCCTGCCCCATTCAGGCTTTCAAGTCAGCAAGTTTATAGCCATTCTCTTAGGCCTTCTGGTCATCTCCTTTCTCGGTAGGCTGCTAAGCAATTGCTGTAGAGAACATCATTCTGGGAATCTAACTTTAATTGCTTCGGAGTAATGCATTGTCAATTCTGACAGCACTCGGAGACTTCTTGCCCTTCTCTATTAGCTCATTTACCTTCTCTATTAGCTCATTTACCTCTATTAGCTCCATAGCTTGGCCCAGAACCTAGTTGAATTGACTCCATCCTCACCACATTGCCAATGGCACATGCCCCGTGGCTAGTAGTTATACCTACCTTCTTTCACCAGTCACTTCCCTCAGCGGGCACCTCGACGAGTTGTGGTTCTTCCCCAGCAGGGTGATCCAAATGTTCACTTTGGATGGAGGCCATTAATGGGCCTGCCTGAATTAGATTGTTGTGGTTTTCCATGGACTTTAATCCAGGGCATGGAATAAAAGAAGCTCTATGGAATCTCCTGAATTCCAGCCATACTCCTCCATTGTGTAGCAGGTAATCAAGATCAATTTACTCTAGCCAGTACTCCCTTCTTTGCCAGTTAAGAGGCATGGGAAGAGGTCTAGATCAGCAAAGCATAATGTCATAGGGACAGGAAGCAAAACTCTTGCTAGTGAATCACTGGGAGTAGTGAATGACTCCATTCCCATTTCCCCCTTTGATTCTTGGATCAATGAATCCTAACTATGGAAATACAA